AGCTCAGAGAGCACCCAGGACCCCTCATTGCAACTCTGAAGTACAAATATTCTCCTTTATTGGTAACATCAGGACTTTTTGCAAGCCAGAAACTTGGAGAGAGTCTTCCGGATCTCCTTGGTTTTGATGCTGTAGATGATGGGGTTGAGGGCTGGAGGAACCAGGAGGTAGATGTGGGCCAGGAGGGAGGGCACCAGAGGGGATGCCCGCTTGCTGAATCGGTGGACCATGGAGAGGCCGACCATTGGGGTGTAGTAAACCACCACTGCACAGATGTGGGACACGCAGGTGTTGAGGGCCTTCAGGCGACCTTCCCTTGAGCTGATGCTCAAGACGGTCCTAAAAATCAGGACATAAGACAAGACAATGCACAGGGAATCGATCCCAAAGGTGATGACGACAACAAAGAGGCCAACTCTGTTATTGAGTGTGGTGTCTGCACACGGGATCCGGATTAAATTGGGGTGCAGGCAGTAGGGGTGAGCCAGCAGGTGGGATCTGGATTTGCAAAAAGGAAGCTTTCTTAAAAGAAACACCAGTGGGATCATCGGGACAGCACTCCTCAACGCAATCCCCGAGCCTATCAGGGCGATGCGGTGGCCGGTCAGGATGGAAGCATACCGCAGCGGGTTGTAGATGGCGACAAAGCGGTCCAGGGCCATGGCCCAGAGCACCCCGGAGTCCATGATGGAGAAGCAGTGGATGAAGAACATCTGGCTGAGGCAAGCGTCAAGGCCAATCTCCTGCACACCGAAGAGGAAGACGCCCAGCACGGTGGGGAGGGTGGAGAGGGACACTCCCAGCTCGCTCACCGCCAGCATGGAGAGGAAAAGGTACATGGGTTTGTGTAAGTTGCGGTCCTTCACAATCGCGAGCAGAATGGCGCTGTTTCCCAGGAGGGCAATGGCGTAGAGGAAGCAGAAAGGGAGGGAGGCCCAGGGGCTTCTTGCCTCCAGTCCTCGGATGCCGACCAGGAAGAAGGTGGGAGAGGGGGCACTCTGGTTTCTGAGGGGGGCCATGAGTGTCTTTCTGCCCCCTCCCTCCAGCACCTGCAGGTACGTGAAAAGTAACAATTAACACGGAGTCTGTGTTACTGAGGGCTTGGTCTGCCTAGGACAGTGATGGCGAACCTTTTAGATACCGAGGGCCCAAACTGCAACCCAAAACCCACTTAGGCATCGTCGGGTGCCGGGTGGGCGTGTCCCATGGGGTGGGCATGGTTGGGTGGTAACGGCAGACTGGGTGGGACTAAAAAGTTCAATCAATCAATTCCAACTTTGCAAGATCTTTTTTTTCCCCGTGAGAAGTTGAAATTGACTGATTGATTGAACCTTCTTCTTTTTTTGCACACGACGGCAGAGGCCTAAAGCGAAAAGGATTTATAAAACCCAGCTGAAGGCCCAGGACTGGGGCGACGGCATGCGTGCCCACAGAGAGGGCTCTGAGTGCCGCCTCTGGCACCCGTGCCGTAGGTTCCCCACCACTGGCCTAGGAG